ATATATATATATATATATATATATATATTTTTTAATACAAATTGTGATTTGTGAACTTATTTACAACAAACACAGCCATCTATACTTGAACACTTTTAAGGAGAACAGTGTGTTCTGTGGCCTTTTCCTGTCTACCAATACTCAAAACACACACATACATGCACACACACGCACACAAAATGTATGCACACAATGTCAGCAAGAAATTCTTCTCAACACTAGTTGTACTCCTCTTTATACTATAATTTGCAAATTTAACTTATGCATGACAAAGGCAAATGCCCCAAACCTTCTCCTATCAGACACTCGCCCCACAAATGATCTAGGTTCAGAAGTGAGTTTGTATCCAGGACAAACAGCAACACCCCCCTACATCCTTATCCTTGAGCTGTGCTCACTAGAGCTCAGAACTCAGAGTCCTGGTCCTTAAAGATAAAGGAGCCTGGGCCACGCAGGAACTCCGAATCTGGACAGTAAGGCCATGAAGATGAGTGTGTGCTTGGGGGACATTTACTGCCACCTGCCTTTTGTTATTTTTAATTTCTGAAATCCATGCCTACTCTCTCCACCAGATTCTACTAAGGCAGTTACATATAAAACTTAACATTATTGACTTTGAAAACATAATATAATGGTTTAAATATAATGGACAGTTGTATTTATGCATTACTTCTAGATTAGCAAGACCCATCTCACCCAATATTGGTGTGAATATTTTCTGAGTCACTGAACCACTCTGAAGTTCAGGTTTCTCTCGGATAGTAATAGGGCTGGTTGAAAATGTAAAGTACTCCCTTCAGCTCCAAAATATCAAAACACCTACAGTCCTCTAGGCCTGTGATGGTGCCTGGTGTGACTTCTGGGCTGGGGAACCCGGTACAGGAAGTGTGCTCCTCTCCTCTGTGAACTGCTCAGATTAGCTCTCCATGACTGTCTAGACAGTGGGTCACAGGTACAGCTCTGAATGTCAGCTAAGTTGCACGAGGAATTGCTCTACGCATTCCTGCTGCCCAGCAGTGCCTCTCAGGGACCCTGCTGACGACAGGAGCAGCGGAGCACTGGCCCCTCTCCTAGGCCCCAAAGCAGGAGGTGGCTCCCTGGGACTTTCCCAGCAGGTGTCAGCACACTGGGCTGTGGACATTCCTGTCCCTGCCATCTCTGTTTCCTGAGATTTCTTATTGTCAAAGAGACCTGATTACCTGAGTTGTGCATAGGTGACACATGTGTGTGGCTTCTTGGCACCCTGAGTCACTGCTGCAGGGTTATCCACCAGCCGAGACCTCTCCTGCCTTCCTTCTCCCTAGAAAGTTCTACGTGAGACCGGCAGGAAATGAGGGGCATGTTTGACAGTGCCTCTTCCTCAGACTTACACACTGAACAGGAGGAGCCGGCACTCCTCGCCCGGCACAGTGAGGAGGAGGTCCTCAGGCAGCAGGCAGAGTCTCAGGTGAGCCTCCAGGGACCCGCCACAGGCTCTGGCTGACTGTGCTCCCTGCTGCTGCAGTGGTCAAGGCGGGGATGCCCAGTGGGCAGAAGGGGGCACAGCAGCAGCGGCGCCAGTGCAGTTCCGGCCTCTGGGCACTCTGCTGGGTTCCACCCTCCATACCTGTTACCAGAATAGAGACCAGCGGCGGGTTGAGAGAGCAGATGGTTTGTGCCCTCCCACACGCAGCACGCTCTCATCAGTCTCTCCTGCTTCAGTAGAGGGACTGTTTCCCTTTGTGCCAAATGAAATGGGCGTTAGTGAACGCTCGTCCTTGCTTAGTCTTTGTTTTAGAATGTGTTCATGAGAGGGTAACTCAGCTTCCAGCTGGTGATGACATTACATGTCCACTTCCAGGCTTTCAGAGAAAAGAAAGATAATCATTTTCAGAAGACAGAGATAAGAATGAGGAAATATATAATCAAATAAGTAAATGAATGAGGCTATCTTAATAGTAGAAAATCTGAAGAATGTATGCAGATTTTAATATCCCCTTATGTCATTTCTAAATACTCAGCACCTCTCCTCTCTGTGTTATGAATCTAATCCATCACACAAGTTTGCCCAACAACTGCCATTACTGAGAGTATTGGGATGTATTTTTGACAAGCAAGAAGGTTCAGCCTTTCCCACACATGGCCTTTCCAATCTCAGTATTTCCCATAGTGCCACCCAAACCTCTCAGCAAGGAACCACTGGTTCCATGTTAACTGACACCATAAAGGACAAGAGCAAGTGCCATTTGCCA